TGGAGGGCAAAGCATCTTCTTTCTACAAAAATCCTTCAATTTTTAACCTCCATAAAAATTCCCTCTTAAAGGATAAATCTTGAAAATGTGCATGTAAGCCCATTTGTAGATAGCCTTTCCATTTCTGATAACACTACATATTACCAATTATGCAAGAAACAGTGTGATCTTGATCAGCTAGCACATCACACGACCAACTGTTGCAAAGGGCCTGTTGACCCTTTCCTATTCTCCTTTACAGATTTTTATGTACTTCAACATTTTGTGATTCACATCTGAATGTAACACATTGTTCTAGAGGTGTCAAACATGTTTGTGCCTGCAAAACAGCAGAATTGTGAAGCCAATGCAACCTTTTTCATGACTTGACACCCCTTCCTAGTCTCCTTTGCAGCATCCACTTCACTGTTGTTTTGATGCATGCCTAAACGTTATACATTGTCCTAGAGATGTCAAATGATATGCATGCATGTGCCTGAAAAACAGCACAATTGCAAAAAGTTAACAGATAATCAACCAACAGCTCATTTGTGGAATCTGGTCCACCACTACAATCCATAATTTGCTTGAACACAATTCACAAGTTAAAAAGTGTAGGATTGGGTGGGACGGTAGGCAGCGAGAAAGACGAAACATATTCAAAACCATGCAGGAACCATCCAAATGTTTACACTCACAATAGGGGGCCTATTACATGTACATGAGCTGGGATGGACTGCCCCAGTTTTACAGGCTCAGGCTTGGTTTTCCGAGGTTAGTTTTATCTAACATGTATTATTACATGAAGTGAGCTAACCCTTGAGCTATTGGCACAGGTTATAAGTACTGAGATGATTTTTAGACTGATACTTCGTCAGCCATTCATACGCAGTGTGTTACTCACTGTACTCTTGCTGGTTTTGTAATCCAGGCTGGCCCAGTGAATGTAATTACATGGAACATTTTCAGACTAGTTGGCCAGGATCTTGGCGTTTTTGTTGTATTTAATCAACATGCCAAGATCTTGGCAAACTCAGAGCCAGTCCAGCCAACTGAACCAGCTAACAACATCATGCATCTTTATTTCTCATAATTTACAAATACTGATCCACATGATATATATACTGGTTCTTGAAGTGAGGTAAAATGTTGTAATCACTTTATTTTAATGAGACTGGAGGCTACTGTAAATGAAAAGCTAGGCTCTTGAGTTAGCCTCTGACTCAATGTGACTGAACTATGAAATACTTCATACCCTTAGTATTTTGCATGTAATTTAGCTTAGCACCACCTCCAATCATATAATATTCTGAATCCAAGCCAGCCCAGTTACCAGGGTCCTCATACATATATATACTGGTATGTGTAAAAATCCCTAAATATTCTTGTAAAGTTCCTATCAAACTACATGTACATGTGCATGAGGTAGCTGTTAGTCTCCTTATCATTATTGTTTATTACGGCAGGGTCTCCTATTGTGGGTCAGATGTTTTTTAGAGCAACTCTCTTCACTTCCTATTATCAGGTTAGTTGAACATAATACAGTGAAACCCCTATTAAGCGGACCCCCAATCAAGCAAACACCCTCTCTTAAACGGACACTTAGCCTGGTCCCAAAATTAACATCCTATATTTCCCTTTATAATGAACCTCTATTCAGCAGACACCTCTATTAAGCAGATGAGGACACTAAAATATATTGTATTGGGCATAGAATTACATCCTCGAAATAGTCGATTAAATGTCCCCATATTATCATTGCTGTATTGAAAGGGCATTATTACAAACAAATTAAAGTTGGTAATGAAAGCTGATTAACTTGAACTCTGGATAGCTTCATTAACAACCTGGAAGAGTACAGAGGAACTGTTGAATGTTAATTGTTAACAAACATTGTGCAATTGTTGTAAACCTTTATTAAGCGGACACCCTCTATTAAGCGAACACTTGGGAAGGTCCTGAGGGTGTCCGCTTAATAGAGGCTTCAGTGTAATATTTAGTAATTGATCATGATTTATTATCCCTTTACACTAAGTGAGTGTTTAAAGGGCTATGTTGCTGTATTGGCTATCTAGAGCGGTTTTCATTTAGATGTCTTAAAACCAAAACCAAGCCAATCACTTACCAACTACATGCATGCAGACTACTCAGCATATCTCAAACTGTAGTAAAACAACATCCAGAACCAATTAATAAAAGTAATTGCCAGTGATTACAAAACTCAATTGAGAACTGCCCTTGTACATATGCATTATGTACCTTTTATGCTGGTTTAAAGGCATACTATGCGGCATGTGGCTATGTAGTCGTGCCATCTGTCTACCTACTTGCGATGTACCTCAGTCCTAATATCCAGGGGGCAACTCCCATATAAAAGGGATGTGGGCGCTCGTCAGGAATTTTGATAAGAACTGCAAAAAGGCACCAAGATCCTGTTTTGTGCAGCGTGGCTTGGAATTTTTTTAACCCCTAAGAGGTACCAATTTTGAGATAAAATTAAGTCTCTTATTTTTCAAATATGTATTGTCATGCCATTTTCCCTCAATACCCTAAAAAGTACCACAAAAGCTCCTGCTGTGGGCCTTTTGAGGTTAAACACTTTTTATATGGGAGCTCCCCCCCCCTCCCTACCGGGGCCTAGTACATGTATGTGTTATAGCAAACAGATTGTAATCATAGAGCTCTGAGCTGTTGACGGAAAAAGTGCAATCTTTGACAATGGAATATGGTCAGTTTAATTTTATTCCATATACATGTATTGTGATTACGTTTGTGTGTCTGGATTGTGTTTGTTATAAGGGATTTTGTCATACGTGGTTTTGTTATATCAAGATTTTGTTCCAGATACATGCATGTGACTGTGACTTTGGATGGACTCAATAATACCATTCATTGTAGCAGGGCCTTCCTCAAATCTTTCTAGGTCCTATTTTAATATATAGTGTTTTACTATTTTTCTTTATAGATTACAGCATTTTTTGCTGGGAAAGATCATCTTGGTCAACGACTTACTATCCCAGAGTACTTTTTGTGTGGTATGTTTACGGGTTCAGTGGCTGCACTTGTTGAGGGACCCATTGATTTGGTGAGAGGTGTAGCCAGTCTGAGGCAGCATTAAGGCAGGCCTGTTTCAGGTGTTCAGTCAAATCAGAAAAAAACCTGCACCCCAAGTCAGGTCAAATCCTGTAATTTTTGACAAGTTGCCTGACAACCTACTTCTTTTTATTCATTAGCAGCCATTTGCAATTTTTGGTAGAAGGAAAAAAAAACATCCAAATGTCTTCTTCAAGGAGTGAAGAAAAAGTCCCATGCCAGGAATGAAACGTAATAGATATTGCATTACTATACTCCTCCTCCTATCATGTAACTCTTCAAAAACATTAACTTGATAGCTGACTTCTGCACTATAGTTTAGCTTCTGATGGCCTGATCTAAAACTGCTTCAAACAAAAGAAGAGTTAATAAGGATGCTGATTCTCGGTAAAATCCTTTTTTAGCCTCCTAATGTAAATGTGCAGTGGAGGTACAGTGGTCTCATTGTAAGTGCACTCTGGATCGAGCAGTCCGGGTTTGAGCTCCTGGGACATTGTGTTGTGTTCTTGGCAATCTTAAGTAAGACACTTCACTCTCACAGTGCCTCTCTCCACCCAGGTGTATAAATGGGTACCAGCAAATGTAATGCTGGGGGTAACCATGCGATGGACTAGCATCCCATCCAGGGAGGAGTAGAAATATTCCTAGTCGCTTCATGCTACAGAAAACTGGGATAATCTCTGATAGGTTCCACTTGGCTTGTGTGCAAACTATGTACATGCGTGTAAGTTTGGCAACCAATGATTGTCCAACATTGTCCTAAGCACTTACTAATACATGAAATCTGATTCCGTTCAAATTGTTCCTGTGATGGGCATACATGTATGAAGTTTGCACACAAACAGAATGAACTTCTCCTAGGTAGTTTCAACTTTGCAATCTTTGCAAACCACCTGTTCAGACTTACTTAGGGTAAAATGCCTCTTCCCCTATTCTACTTCATGCTTCTATTGAGGTGCCCTCTCAAAGGTACATGTACCTATTAAAGGAGAGTCAGTCTGTACATACCTCTGTTGATATTGCACGAACCTCTTAAACACCTGCATGTAGATGTACACGCTAAGAAACGAAGTAAGCTCCTGTTTTATTTCCACTGTTTTTTCAATAATAATTATTTTTTTACATTTTTGCTACAGATTCCTTGTGATGAAATAACCTGAATGTAGTTGTCTCTCTGCAGTTTAAATCAAAGATGCAAATCCAGATCGTAAGAGCAAAATCAGGGGAGCCAGTCATGTACAAAAATGTCTTCCATGCAGCTTATGTTATTGTTAAGAGGCACGGAATTCGAGGAGCTTACCAAGGACTACCTGCCACGTGGGTTAGGAATATCCCGGCAAATTCAGCTTTCTTTGGTGAGTTCAAAAACATATGAAGAAGTTTTAAAAACAATAACCTTGCCATGTACTTAAAGGAGCTCAGTCACGGTATTTTGAGTTATTTTAGCCATGCACAAAAATACCTTCAGATTGAAGGAAACCTGAAAATAGTAGTTTACTTAGATAGAAAAACACCAAAGAGATAATAATAAACCATAAAGGAAAAAGGACGGTGAAGGATGGAGAAGATTAACACGGATTTCAACGACCAACTTGGAAGATTTAGGCTAACCTTTTCAATATGCACGGAAACCGTGACGTAGCTCCTTTAAGAAATTCAACAACGAACTTGTCATGCCCTTAACTGATGGTCCTCACCTGCGACTCAAGCAGCTTGGTGTGACTCAAACGTAAGCCTTGTCATTCTGGCATCCCTGACCAGCATTTAGAGGCTTCCAAGACTACCAGTAACCTACAAGCACAGGGAAAAGAAAACATTTCCTGTTGCTAACCTGATTATGCTTGGGATTGTGCTTCTATTATAGTCTTATGCACCTTCGTCTAGACGTATGTATCGTGTTCTTATAAAACTCATACATTTGGGAACAGTCAAATTTATGCAAAAAGTAATTTCAAATATCCCGTACAAAACAATGGTCACTCTACATTTGCCCAAAATTTGTGCAAAACTTCACTCCTCAGACGTTCTTTGTAGTTTTTTAGTTATAGTTTATAGATATTTTAGATTTTAGTACAATCGACGCAATAAGCCTCTCAGCTTTAATTCTCGTCGTTTTAAAATAAAGGCTACATGTATCTGTCTATCTTCTAAAGTTACCCTGTATCAGCATACCGCTTGCAATATGATTATCGGAATACTCCATTTTACTACTGCTAGCTCTAGTCCCCTGTGGGGGCAAAATTTGATCTATTTAATGAATTAATGAGGCCATTTTTGGCCGAGTGATCACTTCTTGCCCCCGCAAGGGAATGGAACTAGGAAATAATTGCATTAGCAAAGTGGCCTATTAATTGGCTGATTTTGCGACCACAGTTCCTCTATACTACCCTACTTTGTTCTCTGTAGGCTTCTACGAATTATGCCGAACTATGGCAATACCAGAGGGGGGTACAATATATGACGTCTCTCCCATGGCGTTACTAGCTGCAGGGGGAACAGGGGGGTTCCTCTATTGGTTCCTGACATATCCCACGGATGTCATAAAGTCGTCGATGCAGGCGGATGACTCTGTTGTGGAAAAAAGGCGCTTCAAAAGCATCAAAGACTGTATAAGGAAACTGTACTACGATGAAGGTGGATGGAAACGATTCTACAGAGGTTTTACACCGTGCTTAATGCGTTCCATTCCTGCAAACGCTACTTTGTTCTTTGTTGTTGAGACATTGAGGAAGTACCTTCCTCTTTAAATAGCACTACATCTGTTACTACCAACTTAAAGCTAGTATTAATTTTTTAGAGCTAGTATAATTTATATAGTAGTTTTTAGTTACGTTTATTATATATTGTCTGGCAGTAGACGAAATTTACGCACACAAGTAACGGCTGTACCTTAAATGTATTCAATACTTGCAGTTTTAAGATATCAAAATATTATATTTTCAAAAATCAGATAATTAGATGCATCAGGATATAAAACGTGAAAATATTTAAGTGAGAATCCTGAATAATTCCCAATCCAGTCTAACGGAGAAATTGATAAACGACTGCTGAAGGGAATGTGATGTATTACGCTTTTTGTGTTGTGTAATAACAAATATTTTTATTTTTAGTTAAAGCTTTAAAAAAGCTATAATCCGGAGAGAATTTAGCCTGGCTGGAAGATAAACGTACATTTTTCTATTTGACTTGCGATAATCGATGGCGTTCACTAACAGCTCATAGCCATACGTTTTTAGCCTGCTTAGCAGCCGCTTCCTTTCCTTTTCCAGGCGGAGAGATCGAACAAGCGAGCGAGCAAGCGGGCGAGCAAGGGAGCGCGCCTGGGGTGAGCAAAAAATCGGGGAGAAGTGGGGAGGGGCGGGCGAGAAGGGGGAGGGGGTGGGAAGAAAAAGGAATTCGCTCGCCCCTCTTCCTCCCCCTGCTTCTTCTTTTTCAAATTCGCTCCCAGTTTCGTTCCGTTCGCCTGCTTTTTTGGAAACGTCTGCTATGTAGGCTATACGTTCTTTTCGAGTCGGAAAATAAAAAAAAAAGATTGTTTAAAGAGTGTCAAAAGTGACGCTAACTTCATTTCCCCAGGAAGCAAACATCTTTTTGGGTATTCTGATCGTATGAAGTCCAAGATTCATAGACGGTAACTTGACAGAGCTGTTGACAAACTGGATGGAATAGCTGTATTTGACTACAACACTTGTAACAATCTAAAGAAATGCTTACATAGTTCAACTGCAAAGACTTCTGGAAAGAAGTGTGACCCATTTTTCCAAGTTTGACTCTTTTTTCGAAGTCTGCCCCCCCTTTTTCGAAGTGTGGCCAAGTTTTCCAAGTGTAACCCATTTTTCCAAGTGTGACCCTTTTCCAAGTGTGACTTATTATTCTAAGTGTGATCCTTTTTTTCCAAGTGTGAGCCATTTTTCCAAATGTTACCCATTTTCCCAAATGTGACCCATTTTACCAAGTGTAACCCTTTTTTTCCAAGTGTGACTCCGTTTTGTAGGTATGACCCATTTTTCAAGTGTGACCCATTTTCCCAAGTGTGACCATTTTTTCAAGTTTGCCACTTTTTTCCACGTGTGACCCGTTTTTCTAAGTGTGATCCATTTTTCCAAGTTTGACCCTTATTTCGAAGTGTGTCCCCCTTTTTTCGAAGTGTGGCCATGTTTTCCAAGTGTAACCCATTTTTCCGAGTGTGACCCTTTTCCAAGTGTGACCCATTTTTCCAAATGTAAGGCATTTTTCCAAGTGAGTCCCATTTTTCCAAGTGTGACCCATTTTTCCAAATGAGACCCACTTTTATAAAGAGTGCCCATTTTCCCACGTGTGACCCATTTTTCCAAATGTGACTCACTTTTCCAAGGGTAACCCCTTTTTCCAAGTGTGACTCCTTTTTCCAAGTTCGACCCATCTTTCAAGTGTGACCCATTTTTCCAAGTGTAACCCTTTTTTCCAAGTGTGACTCCTTTTTCCAAGTATGACCCTTTTTTCAAGTGTAACCCATTGTTCCAAGTGTGACCATTTTTCCAAGTTTGCCTCTTTTTTCCAAGTGTGACCCGTTTTTCTAAGTGTGACCCATTTTTCCGAGTTTGACCCATTTCATTACGTGAGACCCATTTATACAGGGGTGACCCATTTTTACAAGTGTGACCTATTTTTACATGTCTGGCTCATGTTTTCAAGTCTGATTTTTTTCCAAGTGTGACCTACATTTCTAAGTTCGACCCATTTTCAGAAGTGTAACCCATTTTTTACAAATGCGTACTATTTTTACAAGCGTGTCTTATTTTTAGAAGATTGACCCATTTTTCCAAGTCTCACCCATTGTTACTAGTGTGACCCATTTTTCCAAGTCTCACCCATTGTTACTAGTGTGACCCATTATTTTCATTGTGACCCATTTTTCCAAGTGTGACCCATTTTTCCAAGAGTGAACCATTTTTCCAAGTGTGACCCACTTTTACAAGTGTGACCCATTTTGGCAAATGTGACCCATTTTTCCCAGTGTGACCAATTTTTACAAGTGTGTCCCATTTTTACAAGTGTGACGCATTTTTACAAGTCTGATTTTTTTTTTCTAAGTGTAACCCATTTTTCCAAGGTGACCTATTTTTCGAAGTGTGACCCATATTTACACGTGTGACTAATTTTGGCGAGTGTAACCCTTTTATCAAAATGTGACCCATTT